CTTCACCGGGGACCAGGACAAATGACCAGGGTTGGCTAATTAGCCATATGAGTGGTATGAGTATAAGAGTATCAAGTACCGCTAATTGAAGTGCATTTAGTCCCCGGCCAGTGCCAGCAGCGAACTAGTTCCCCCCAGTGCGCTCCACTGTGGTGGGTGGATGGGTGTTAATTGTATTGGACATGCCTCAATGACTTGCCACTCAAACCATGACCTCCACCAGTAGAGCACGCGACCAGAGACCAGAGACCAGAGATCTGTGAAAGTCAACACTGCACTTCATTATGACAAATTAACAGTTAATCAGCGAGTGAAAGAGACAGAGAGATCAGACCGACCAGACACGGTCGGTTGGGTATTTGGAAATGAGGCACTAAATCATCCATGCCTCTGGCAACCATACCCATATCCAAATCCACTAAGTGGGGCCTCCTAGTGGTAACTGGTGGTGGCAAGTGAAACCCCAAAATGGCAGAAATGACAAACAAGCCCCTCCGCCCTCCCGGCTGCCCCTCTCATAAGGTAACTGGCCAGAAGAGTTCAACAAACCCGGGGAGTATCCAAAAAAGGAGTGTACACCCACATGCGAATACCCTGCTTTGGATGCTTATGAGGAAGAATCCCCTACCTCTTCAAAGGTAGGGTCCATTCTTTTACTCTTTTTCAAGCTCCATCTCTTAGTGGATATACCCCCTCTGGTAGAGTATCTACAAGGACAAAAAAAAAAGCGAAAGATGGGGTATGGGGATGGGAAAGTGTCCAAGTCTCTGCCGCCAAGCAGCTGCAACTTATCGCTCCACCATGCAACGCAATCAACGCACCACCAGCACCACTTTCACTCTCGACTCCAAGGGGTACACTGGTACTATCCACTGGTACTAATCCTTCCAAGATATGCCGATATTTGACTTCCATTTTTGTATGTTTATTCTCCAAATCACGTAACACTTACGTGGCGTTCTTCGACTTTGAATAGCGAGGGGGATTCTTGGGGCATGATATCATCGATCGTTAATCACGACCCACTGTGCGGCACGACACTACTGTACCGCTCTCTGGCATGTTGCATTAAAACGACATTAAAAAAAAATTATAAATCCAAAATAAACAAAAAAACAAAAGCCACTTGAAGGCTGGATGTTGATGGAAGCCAGCAGGCTGCAGGGCCCAGAAGAGGGGCTGAGAATGGGGGCAGTAAGAGAGCCCTAATGCCTGCCGCTGCAACAACAACAACAACAACAACACACAGTGGCGGCTAAAATAATAGAAACCGCAATCGAACTTAATAGTCTAAAATCTTGGCCATAAATTTTGTGGAATAACTTGACGTAAGTCTTGGCCATCTTGGTGACTCATCCGGTCATGGCACTTGGGAAGGTAACTACTTCCAAGGCTTCTTAGGATTTCGACCGCTGGTGTTTATATCAAGTATGCAGCAGAACCCCCCCTTCAATGAGCAATTAACACTGCCACTCCCACGCAGAATGAGAAAAATATGAGCTGGAGACTGGGGCGTGGGTGCGGCGGCAGCTCAGATTCAGATTCGGAATCAGTTTTGAGGCACAAAGTAGCGTTAAGCGGGGCATCTTGAAACAATTTTAGGAAAGCAAGCCAGCAGATACAAGTATCTACAAGTACATAAGATACATAGTACTACATGGATATATACTACATGGATCTATAAACAAAGCCACTCCTTCCATATCCCACAACCTTCATGGAGGAGGGTGGGGGGGGGAATGTGGAATGGAATGCAAAATATCATTAATTGAATGCGGAACTGGATTTGTTTATTTTTAGTGGCTTGCCTTCATGGGGCATTAGTCATCCGACTCGGGCAGCACTCACTGCCACTCCACCACACCCACCCAACCCACTTGGCCTCCCCCCCCCAAACATTATCCTGTTTTCTTTCCAAAGCTGGGCACTTCTCGCGAAGAATATATCGTTCCGTTGGCCACGCATCGGAATTTAAGATTTAAGATTTTTAAGCACAAAGGGGCTCTATTGTGCGAGCGATTAACGCCGCGAACGCGTGCTACTGGGGGTTTATAAACTACACTTTAAAAAATTTAAATAATAATTTAATAAATAATAGTAATAATAAATTAAAATTATAATAATTGTATATCAAAAGTTGACTCTAAATTGTATTAAAAACAATATACTTCTTGAATTAAGGTTCAAGATTTGAAATAAATTTCAAAAATAGCAACTACTTTAGAAAGTTAAGGGACTAAGGGTTTTTTTTTTAAAGTTTTTCTTAATTAATTTCTTATTTCAGATTAATTTTTAACAAAAAGATCTTGAACTGTTTCACGATAATTATTATTTTCATTAGTAGATGCTACTTTTAAGATGAAAATAGATGATATTAAATTAATACTTATTATATTAATAATATTAATAATATTTCTCGAAAATGGATCAACTAATCGGTCTTAAACTTGTTAATAATATTATTAATATTATTAATAGTCGATAAGTCGATCTAAAATATAGAATACCTTTACCGAAAATATATATCTATTATAGATAGGTGTTATTATTATTATTATATATTATTATCATTATTATTATTAAAGGTACATAGATCAGTTTACAAAACTAACCCAACTAAGTGGGTATAGCACTGGCAGCGAGACCTTTGGCTATTAAATCTATCTATCAAGATATATATCTTCCTATCTATCTATCTATATCTCTATTACTCTATCTATCCAGATATCTAAATATCCATATCTATACAAAGTATACATAAATGCAGGTAATGATCGAAGAATTTTCCAAAAATTCACATTTTTTGAGAAAATGCCTTGACTTTTACATACAAAAATATAGTTTTTTGATGAAATAGTTTTATTAAATTGTCCAAAAAAATAATAATACATTTTTTTAAAATAAATTCCTCTGTCTGTTAGTTGGAGAATATAACCAAGAAGATTGGTTACAATTTTAAGACCGATCAGTTGATCCATTTTCGAGAAATAATGATCACCGTCTTGAGAAACGCTGTCAACTCTGCCATGAGGATATTAATCCTCACATTAATGAATATCTCCAAAAATACTTATAGGATTGGGATTAAATTTTGAAATGATATAAACAAATATATTTAGATTTAAAAAAAAATAAAATATAACCAAAATTTCTCTCAGTGCCTTGAATTTCTCTCCTTGACTGCCAACTGCATTTGCAATCAGGCGGTCAGGCAGGCACACGCTCTTATATTTTTTTTTATGTCTTCCAGTGTACGAACTTTTACGGCCAGCACTGTTCCACTCTGCACTCGTGGAAGCAATTGCAGCGTGGGCGTTTATTGTTTCCCCCACCGCCCCCTCCCCCTTACCACTTGTATTTTTCGGTTGGATTGTGAATTGTCGGGAATTACGAGCTCAGCGAAAAAAACCAACGAAATGCAGAGCAGGATTGGAGACTGGAGACTGGCACTGGAGGTTAACACCAACTGGGAACTGGGATCTGGTGTCCAAATCAGAGGAATGACCTTTGAACCAAGATGACGGTGCCACTACTGTAAGTGTGACTAACGCCTATTGCTGATTCAAGTTGTCTTTAATTGACTTGTGGGGGGGTTAAGGGTCTAAACATGTACAGACATGTCTGGACAAGATCTTATAGCAGCATTGCCCCATTTTCCAACAGCCTTAACCCCTTATGACCCACCATTCTCGCATGAATCTCAAGAAACTGAGAATCTAGAGAAGCTAAGAATCTGAGACGTAGTTTTTCACGCTCTCCATCTCCAAGCAGCAAGCAGTCGGCGGGTCTGGTATGTGTATATGTGTGTGTGTGTGTGTGTTTGTTGTATTTTTATTTTTAAGCAGAAACTGGTTTTTCAAAGCGCCCCCACCTGCCCGCCACCCCACTAGCTGCTGCCAGTCGTCAACGTCGGCAGCGACGCTTACGTGGTGTCATAGTATGGAAATAAATGTTTTTTTTTTTTTTTTCTGAACAAAAAATGCACGTTGGCGCTACCCAAAAAAAATACCAATTCTCGTGAAATTCGCACGAAAAAGACTTGACTGTTTAGTTTGTTTGTTTAATATTAGTCACTGACGCGGCAGAGCGATAGAGCGGCAGAGCGACAGCGACATTGAACTTGCGCTTGGCGGCGCATGCGCTGCTGCTTCTTCACTTCAACGGCGGTTCCTGCAGTTGCAGCGACGCCAACGCCGACTGCAGGGGCCACCACCCAAAGTGGAGACAGATTTCGCTGTCAACTCGTGGGGGTTTGTAAATAATTTTTTGTTTTTTTTTTGGAAATTTTAAGAAAATTCTCCTATGGCGATAAGAAGGCTATTTGCATGCCTTATCGGGTGCTTGTTTTCGGGGCATATCTGTGGCAGAGTTTGGTGTCTGGCAGAGCTATCGGCAGAGACCTATTTTCCGGATAAACCCTTCATGCCCCCCAGCATTCCCTTCCACCGACCGACTGTCTACTGTATTTCTCTCAGAGACCGACAGACGAGAAAGAGAGAGTGCGACGATAGGGGAGATGAAACTTGTTTGCTCAACTGCTCCCCCACCTTCCCCCACCACTTATACGCACACACACCCTCTCTCGCACATGCAGCAGCAGCAGCAGCAGCGCATTAACCGTTAGCCTTGCGATGCTTTGTCTTCTTCTCTTCTTCTTCACTTCATGGGGGGTTGCTTTGCACTGGGCTGCTTTGTTGTTTTTGTTTTTTTTGCTGTTGAAGGCCAAAGCCGCAGCCAAAGCCGGCGTCGCTGCTCCCCCATTGTCAACGCCGACGCCCACATGCACCGCTTCTTTTTTCTGCTTCTGGCTCTTGCCTCCACCCTCATCCTGGTCTTCTTTATTTTTTTTTTTTTTGCTCCCCCTTCCCATGCGTCTTCGCTGTGTTTGAGTGAGTCATGCTATTGGCATTTAATTTTAATAATTGTCCTCCTCCTCACACACACACACACTTATTGATTGTGAATATTTTTGTCACTTTCCCACTACTTCCTCTACTTACCTCTGTAAATTTCTCCTTGATCTCGGCCTTTTCATCAATGGACAGCGTTTTTGTGAATTTGTTCAGCGCTGCCATCTTTTTACTGTTGTATTGTGCTTTTCTTAACTTTCTTAATTATTTATAACAGCGGCGCGCGCGGCTGATTGTTTGATTGGTTATTATTTTAAATAAATTATGCGTTTATTATTAATTTCACTGTGTCGCCGTTTTTCGCAGTTACTTTATATTCTCTGCTTTGACTTCTTCTTTCGTTCTTGCCTTTTCGTTTTTTTTTTTTGCCGCGCTCCTTTCGCCGCCTTTGGGTGTGTGTCTGTATGAGTGTTATTCGGCGTCTTTATATGTATGCGTGTGACTGTGACACTTTCTTTTCAAAAAAAAACTTCTGCTTATTAATTATTATTTTTTAAAATCTTAATTCTCCAGCACGCTACGTCGCCCGCTAATTACCATTCCAGTTGGGATTACGGATTACAGCCTTTCCTTTCCAGCCACACACAAACACACTCGCACTTTCGTTGTTGTTGCTGTTTTTGCACTTTGGTGTCGTGTCGTTTCCGAAAAAAAAATGTTTTCAAAAAAAATTCGGTTTTGTTTATTTACAATTGGTAAAGATTGCACTGCAATCGCCGGCTTCTGTGCGTTCGCAACGGATTGTTAGCAATATTAACAATTTTCGTACCAGCGAGCAACGGAGCTCAGAAAACAACAACGCGCAAAACGACAGTGTGGCCAGAGAAGCTGTTAGCGAATAATACCAAGTGCATTTACCGATAGTTGGACTCCAGCTATCGAAAAAGCTCGTGTCTGATTAGCTTGATAAAGCTTTTTAAGCTTAACCGATTTTTAAATATGCTTTTTAAAAAAATAAACAACCTAAACAATAAAGCAACCTAAAAACATGATTTTTTTTTTCATTATGAAGTTTATTAGGAAAAAGAAAATGTTTCCTAATAAAAAATGTATATAAAAAGGAACTTCAAAAATGGCTTAAATGTTTTACTTACATATTTTAGCCAGTCCAACTAACTAGCCAAGTTAGTTGGTCTAATCCAATTCGATTTTGAAATCTGCCCGCCTAGTGGCATCGCAAGTGTGGTCTGTCTGGGCGTTTGAGGAGCGAATCGTGAAAAATAGATCTGGCCACACCGTTGCAGCTCTGGCTGTTGCCTTTTATTTTAATCCGAGATCTTCACTGTCCAGCGATCACCGTTGCCCATTTAGACCGTTACTTGAGGTCAGAGATCGCTACCCACGTCGCCGGCCCCCCAAAGAACGCCCCCAGCCGCAGAGGTCACCGCCGGAGTCGTTGTTTTTGTCGCACCAACAGCTGCTGCTGCATCCCTGTGCCGAGCTGCGCATACGAGGTGGTAGTGTGTGTGCGTTTGGGTAAGTCGCCAGTGTGTGTGCGTACGTGTGGGCACTTGTGCTCAAACAACAACAAAGCGTAAAACGCATTTTCATTTTGCGATTTCAAATCCCAGAGAAATTACACCAACAAGAAAGCAAAACAAAGGACGCTAAACAAGGGCGCAGAGGAAGAGCCAAGAGCCGAGACCCGCGACCAGAAACCAGAAGAAGCAGCGAGAAAGACAAGCGCCAGCCAGAGACATGGATGTGGAGGAGAACTACGAGAACGCCGCCGAGACTCAGATGCAGACTCAGCAAAACACTCTCCAGAACCCGCACCCGCATCCGCATCCGGCCATGGCCACCTCCGATCAACAGCAAATGCAGTGTGAGCCCCTCTTTGGGTTAACCACCAACACCACCACCACCACGAATCCCATGATGGCCATACCGCTGCCAGCACCGCCGGGAATGATGCCGCATCCAAATCTCAGCCCGAATGCGAACGCAAATCCGAGTCCCTCATCCGCAGCCGTAACCTCAACCTCAAGCGCATCCGCGTCCGCACCGGCGGCCATCAAGGGCCTGCCCACAAATGACTTTGACATCGACTCGCTGCTGTTGCAACAGTTCAGCTGCATGGGCACCACAGACCACGAGGATCTGATCAGCCAGTTCCAGAGCCTAATGAACAATCAGATGAATCGCGAGTCGGCCAGGTTCTATCTGGAAATGAGCAATTGGTAAGGATGGTCTATTGATAGTTACTGGTTAAGAAAACAGGAAGTCCCTCGAGGGCGAAAAAAAGTTGACGAAAGCAGAAAGAAGCCTCAGCTTCCACGAACCCGATACTTTTCTAAACAAAGATAAGTCCCAAAAGTGGGGGAAACAGCTCACTAAGCTGAATCATTCCTCTTGCGGGGATCAGCGGGTATTTTGGCATTGGAAGTCCCTCTAAAAAAACAAACAAACCCAGCATGGAGTGGCTTGGAATCGAAATCTCTATGAGATCAAATATTAACATATTTCTTCGATTATTTCCACCAGGAGTCTGCAGACCGCCGTGGGCTGTTACCTGGACTTTTGTAGCCTCCAGTCGCTGCCCTCGATGAAGATCGTCCAGGGCAAGCATCTGAGCGCCCAACAGCAGGCCTTCCAGCTGCAGAACGACGGCACCGAACGCTGGCCCAGCAACTGCTATCTAACCTCGCCCATCCAGACGCAACGCATCAATGTGCCGGCCCTGCGTCCCGGGGAAACATGTGATATCCTGGCCGATCTGATGCCCACCCAGCCGCCGATCATGTGGCGACTGTGCACTCCAAACGGCTGGTACTTTGGCGGTGAGCAATGGTCCCCATAAACCATATAACCCAGAACCTTGTTGGCATTGTTTTGTAATGCTGTTACATGCCCCTCTTTAGATGCCATTTGGATGATACCGCCGGGCACACAGGCCAGCCAGGACGAACTGCAGCAACGGATGGTGCAGCTAATCACAACGGAGGCCAAGCCGGATGTATATCCGCAGATGAACATCGTGATAACGGCGCACACTCAATGAACGCCAGAGAGAGTCCCGGTGGCCAGACATCCAGGATCCTCTCCATCTCCTGCCAGCTCAATGTGCGGGTTCCCACAAAACAGAAGCATCATGGATAGCATTTCATACCCCCTGCGAACTGTAACATTTACGATAATGACTAGCCTTTAGTCCCAGATCCCCCGAACCCCATAACGACCACCCCCCATCCATCCCTTCCAGCTCCCACGATTAGACTTAACGTTGTTCTCAGTAGCGGAGAGACGGACAGATCGGTTCGGTTTTTACACACTTGACGCCGTACATATGTTGAAGTATATGTAGCCAACGCCATTCACGTGTAGCCCTACTATTATTACTACTACTACTACTACTACTACTATAATACTATAATGCTATTCGATCCGTTTATTTTATGTTTTTGAGTTCCAAAAGCGGCAGCCTTTCTCCCTTCTCCTTTTATTTGGTGTCAGTCGAGTCGACTCAGGTCAGCTTATAATATATATCTTTGGTTTAGTCGCGAGAAGGGTTTAGTCAGCCTGCCGGACCTTGAAATGCGACCTTTTTTTTTGTGAAAAATCAGCATAAGTTTCGAGGAGAATCGTGTGTGTTCTTCTGTTTTTAGTTTTTAGGCTAAAAATTGCGCGCGTGCGTGTGTGTGCGATTGTTTAAATGCAGAATTAATTTTTTTCTTTAATTTAAAGCCCCTAATTCCCCCGTAACCGAAGAGTTGAATTTAAGCAGAAAAAAACCTTGTAACAAAATTAGGCTTAAGTGTTTTATTGAGCAGAGCAAGAAAAAAAAAATGTGGAATGATTGAGATATGTATTTGTTTTAATGTTTTTTATGTGGGAATGAACTTTAAAAACCTTTTTTGTCTATAGTTTTGTAACATAAGATATAAAATATATATAATTTTTTATATAGTTAATAAGATTTTTTGAAATGTAAAGTTTTCTGATCAAAATGCCATATATAAATAAAAAAAAATACTACCTATAAATCTTTTAAATTCTTGGTTCGAATAATTGGCACTACTGTTAAGTGCTGCCTATCACCCAACAAGCTGTCTGATCCAAATAGGCAGCACTTTTAAGTTTAAAAACTGCGCGGCTAATATTTTGCCATTCACAGCGAATGAATAATTTTGATTGAAGAGTGTTTATGATTCAAATCTACTGCCTCTCCGAAAATTGCATTTAAATTCAAATCCGGAGATTGACGAATTTCAAAGGAAATTCCTTATTTTTTGCACAACTTCCTTTGATTTGATTTTATATTTTGATCACATTACGTAATCGGATTAGGGAGAAAACATAACTTATGCCGGCGACTACTTTCTTGTGATGTATGTGAGCACCCCCCTTCTTCAGACACTCCTCCGAGCCCTTGCTGCTGTTCTGCATGAAAATTGTAATTGAGTCAAAAATGCAAAAATTTCAAAAACACACACACATGCTCCGGATGGCTTGTCTCGAAGGACCATAAGGGAATTGAAACATCAACACAATAGCAAAACAACTCCGACTAGCTTTTGACTTGAATTACAAAAATGGTGCGGAAGTGCAGCAGGGGCAGAGGGGGTAGAGGGTGTAGGGAAGGGGGGTGGGTGGCACAAGACCCTTGCCCCCAAGAAGAAGGACGAACCCCATCATGTCATGGACAATCAAATCAAAAAGGCGTCAAAGCCCAAGTCCTCTGCTTCTCTCTCTTTCTAGCCCTCAGAGTCCTTCTCTTTCTCCCCCCTTGTAGAGGCTGTCCTGCTCACTCTGCCAGGAGTCAGAGGCACAAATTGCGCGTTTTCTCGTTTCATGTAACACTCTAAAATTGCATTTGCGAGGACTACCCAGGACTACCCATCCTTTCTAATGTCCCTATCTACTCCGGAGGTGGGCCGGAGACCGAGCTTGTGTTGTTATTGCTGGAATATTCAGATTATGATTTGATTGCCAAACAAGCCAGTGCCAGGGCCAGGACCAGGGTAGGGGTTGGGTGCTGGGGGCCCTACACGTATTTTTCGCCAGCCAGTATGGCTCGGATGGGCACCCCAGGCCTATTTGATATTCATAGATTGGGAATTACAAGCCCAGCCATTGGCAATTGTCAACACACACACACTGGCACACACTGGGCAGACCCACTCCACCATCCACTCCGTACAGGGCCACGTGCTGATGTCAAGTCGTTACAACGACGCCAATTTGTTTGTTCATTTCGTTTCGTTTCATTTGATTCCACTTCCACCCTCCCATCACCATCACCCACAAGAAAGCTTTTCGTGGCAATTGGAAAAGCAAATAAAAATGAAAAACATAGCCAGAAGGAGGTCCTGTCCTGGTCCCCAAAGGGTAAAATAGGCATCTATTTGCATAGTTAAAGGCTAGTGATTTTTCGTTATAAGCCTCTATAGTTTCGGGCCTTAAATCAGTCCAAGAGACCCAGAAAACGGAATGCATTAAATGCATAAAACAATTGCCAGACAGTTTGACGCTCGAAATGCAAATTCAAAAAAAAACAGACTACACTTGGAGAATGAAATCTTCAACAATCCGAAACAATATCCCAGACAGGTGAGGTCTTTTCTCCAGGTGCTGGTTACACAGACCCGTTCAGATTCCGTCCATTCAGAGTCCATTCCGTCCAAGTTGGTGGTCGATTTTTATGAGCTCCGAGCGTTGACAGCTTAAAAGTCTCTTAGCATGAAAAATATTGTCAACGCCAAATGGCGATTCTTGATTCCTCGATACCCTCCAGTCCCAATCCCCTCCAGCAGTTGCCTCCAGCTATATTCTGTTGTTTGTGGGCCGGAGAGTTGGAAAACTTTCTGACTTTTGATGTGTTTGGGAGATAAGATTTTGATAGGAGGCCCGGATTTATGCGAAGCAGCTCCGGCAGGACTTTTAACTTATCGTCTGGAGCTGACAATCAAAATAGAGAAGGAGAGGAGAAGCAGGAGTTGTAGTATCCAGGTATCAGCTATCAGCACTCTATGGCAGCCAATAATTAGTCCATTTTGACACGCACTAAAATCGAGGAAACCGAAACCGAAACCGAGCCATGGAAATTAATTTCACAAATTGTGCGGCGATAAATTCGATTTGAGATACCAACTAATTCCCAATCCGAGGCACCTACGAAAGACCAAGTGTGTCTATCTCTTGGTGCGTGATGGTGTGTGTCTGTGTTGGCCTTTTAAACAAACATGATTTTGTACTTTTATTTTATGCCATATTTAAACTGATTTAATTTGATGGTCGCCTTTCGATTTGGCCTTTTTATGCATATTGCCTGCTCGTCTAGGCCTAGGCCCATACCCATACCCATGCCCAGGCCCATAGAAATTAACATAAAACTTACCCGATAAGAGATGCGGGGAAAACTTTTTTGTCTTTCGGGCCTTAGAGTCTTCTTATTTTCCAGTCTCCAGCCTTAGTCTCAGTCTTTCTTTTAATTTGTTGGTGTGGCCCATCACTTTTTGTACGATTTTGTTTGCGGTCTTTGTCCGGTCGTGATATATAACAGCCGATAACGCCTAATCGCCCCGATGCGAGCATATATCATCCGGGGCATCGGTGATGTCAGGCATGGGGTGGGGCCTGCCTTCGATTTGGAAATTTTGGTTCCAAGCTATACAGCAAAGCTTAGCTGAAAAACATAAACAAGTTCTTCTACACATCCTGATAAGTCTTTGTCTTCCTCTAGATATTATAAGTACCAGGTATCACATCACTCTTTTCACACTGTACTTTTTACCCACTTCCTACCGAGATCTCTTTCCAGTTTCTAGGCCTAATTGGTCTTATTAAGAAGACATCAAACCCCCTAATCGGCCTCGAAATATTTCCCTAATTTTGTCTCTCATATGCTGAACGGATCCTTCTTTTAGATATCATAAGTACCAGGTATCACATCACTCTTTATTATTTTATATTAATTTCCCTACTGGACTTTCTAACCACTTCCTCTAGATCTTGAAATCTTCCTCCAGTTTCTAGACCTAATTGGTCTAACCAAGAAGACATCATATACCCTAATCGGCCTCGAAATATTTCCCTAATTTGTCTCTCATGTGCTGAATGCTGAACGGATCCCCGAAAAGCTAAAACACAACTAACGAGGGTCGATAGAAACGGTGAAAACGTCAATATTATTAAATATAAATGCAACGATGAAAAGAGCCGCTTTATTTGGTCTTTATTTATTATTTTTATTTATTTTTTTTTCGGGATGTTGTTGTTGATGTTTAATTTTAAATGCGGACGCGACATTGCGTGATGAACAAACGTCGAGCATTTTTCTCAATGGGATCAGAGCCACAGGCAGGCATCATCAGGGGCGGGGTTTCGGGGTTTTCGGCCAAAAGCCGAAATGAAATGAAATGAAATGACATGACGTGTTGTTATTAAGCCGCATAATCAAAATAAAAACAAGGCCCAGTTCATTTTATGAATGAAAAGGAGAAGTTCAGAGCTGTTTCGGTTCTAGTAGAGGTGATCCCAAAGAGCCACTCCCAGATCCGCAGAGAACAGTGGGTCTGGGATGATGAATTCTTCTCAAATGGTATATTATACCAATTCTTTGTAAAATATTATAAAAATTACTCTCCTTCTTACCACAAGACTCTATGAAAGAGCTCCTATAACATCATAATAGATCTATAGATCGTATCCCTATCCACTGTGCCACTCTCCAATCTTGTATTGACGGCGTCGGCAGCTTCAAGGCGATTAGCGAAAAGCGGTAAATGTTGTGTTAAACCTCAATTAAGAGTCCAGGTAGAGATCCAGGTAGAGATCCCCCCTTCTCAGTCTCCAGGGGCCGCCAAACAGGATGTTAAACTCTTTCGGGCAATTTGAATTCGCTTTGACTGACGCCACACGCCAGGGTCGGTTTCAGAGGATTTACGATCTTTGTGGATCTTAGGAGATCTGTGGACCCCTTCCCCAGTCTTCAGTATCCAGTCCCCAAGATCTTAACTGCTAAATGATCTCACACAGGCGATGACGACGTCGAATGGCGCCTAGAAGGAGTCGCTCCTCTGCACCTCTGGCTCTTCTGGCTTCGTTCTGGTTTACCCCCTTGAAGCACTCCACCCCCGCCCCTGTTAAGTGCTTTTTAATTTGTTTGCATTCGAAATCCGTATTCCCAGTGTTCCGCTTTTATCGGGGAATCAAGTGAGCTGAGTGCAATTACGACACCTTCAAAAAGCCAAACAGGATGCTCATCCTCAAGGCACTTAAGCGCATCCCCCAGGGGGTTGTTGTCGTTGTTGAACAGACCACCACCCACCCACCCACCTACCAGCCTCAGTTCCGCACTTTTCCGCCCACATTTCCATCCCCTTTCAAGGGTAGTCCGGACGGATGGAGGTAGCGATGGAGATGGTAGAGGTGGCGGTGGTTGGCGGTGGGCGATGGCTAATTAAAATTACTTTCCAAAGAAGCTCTATTGGGGGTTGGGGGTCAGGCTGGCAGGCAGTTAATGGTCAACTGGCCAGTTTGTAGCCACTCTTAATGAGCTCGGTCCCCAGTCATTTGCTTGGGAACGAACGGGGACGTACCTTCTCGCACCGCCAACTACCAACTGCGTATTTGTCATTTTTAATGTCTTTTTAAACCACCAAAGGTGAGTTGGACTTAATGGCGCTCCACCGACCTATCGGAACTGGCCTTTCACCGGGTATATTCACCAGAAGTCGGAGTAATCACAGTCTCATTACTCTATTACTTTAGAAAGATTATTATTTCAAGCTAAGAAAAGTATGCTATGTTTTTTAAAGAGAGAGTTTAGTAATCTTACTTGTCCCTTAGATTAGTATGTATATTATTTAATATTATATCATAGATAGAGTATTTATCCACAAGTATCATAGTTCTCCCGTATCTCGTAAATAAGCCACCGTGCTCATCTTTAATTAACTTATTTCGCTGTTGAGTATTATATTTCGCTTTGTACTTCCATCCCGCCCAGTGAGCACCACCAGCAGCAGCAGCAGCAAGTGCCGTTAGTCAGTCCCCCCCACAAAATGGCGGACCCACCTAGCGGTATACCCACCTGGAGTGATATAGTATACGCGGCTTGTGGCGAAAGTCAAGTTGTCTCATTAGCAGGCAAAGGGAATACCGAAAGACAAATTATTGTCACATTTTTTATGGGAATCTCATTAAGGGGCGGGGAGGGTGCTGGGAATCGCTGGGAAGGGGGTGTGGCAGAATTTGACACGGATACAGTTATTATTAAAGGCCTATTATCTGGGTAGATAGAATAGGAGTTTAGAATAGAGGGTTTTAGAGATACAGTTTGGGAAAGCAGTTCTTCCTTGATGGATGATGAGATGGGAGTAGGTTAGTACTTCCCTATGGGAGTATTATTTACAAATATTAATATTTAGATTTTTTAATTTTAAGTTTATTATAATAATAGTAGTATAATATAGTATATAGTAAAATAATAGAATAATAACCTTTATATATATATATATATATATCTAATATATATATAAAAATCTAATATGCAACATCCAGCATCAAAAGATAGGACCATATCTAATAGTTGTCTTATAAGTTAAGAGTTAGGATTCTATGAGTTAGGATATTAGGAGTTACTTCTCTATAGGAAGTTCCTATAAGGAACATTATTAAAAAAATTAACATTTCGATATTTAAAAATAATATTTATAGAAACAAGTCCTTAGACACAAGTATAGACACATTTCTACTCCACGATATGATAGCAGTAAGATGGTACGTCCCGAATGGAGTATTGCAGCAAGTCTTAATATTTACCCTTCAGGATATAAAGATAGAACTATATCTCATAGTTATCTTATGGTATATCTTAGGAGTTACTTCCCAATAGAGGAACAATATTACAAAAATTAGAATTTCGATATTTAAAAATAATATTTATAGACACAAGTCCTTACATTTCCACTCCACGATATGATAGGAGTAGGATAGTACTTCCCTAAAGGAGAATTATACAAAAATTAAAGGTTTTCGCAAGCTAGTCCTTGAATTCAGCCTTTAGGATGATAAGATAGGAGTAGGATAGTACTTTCCAATGGGAGTATTAAACTTATTTAAAGTTTATTTTAAGTATTTTAAGGAGCAATTCTTAATATTTCACATTCATGGTATAAAGATAGGACTATATCTTATAGTTATCTTATGGTATATCTTAGGAGTTACTTCCCAATAGGAACATTATAAGAAACAATTAACATTTCGATATTTTTTTAGATGTTGAAGTCTGTAGTCTAGGATATAATAGAAGTAGGATTGTACTTCCCGAAAGGAGTATTATTACAAATTAAAGGTGAAGGTTAAAGATTAATATTTCAAAGGTTTATGTACGCAAGTCCCTAGTAAGTAAGATATGGTAGTCTATTTCCAAAAGATAATGGATGTATTGTAAGAAGCTCATTGGAGTAAGACCTTTATTTGGGGCTCCTCTTAGAATTAAACAAAAATGAAACAATTATTACTCCATTCTAAGAGATTCTACCTCCTCCGGGGACTGGAATTAGAATGGGAATTTTAGCTGCCATAAAGGGGAAGGGGGTTGAGGACTGGGAGGGGGGAAAAACAAAGAAAAGTTGGCATTCCACGGATTGGCATTGATTTCCATCCTGGTCACGTCTGCACTTTCCTGCCTAAACCGATCGTTTGCCACATAGTTAGCCAGGTCGTAAATGTTTGCTGCACGCCGGGGGCCACCATCTATGTGGTTAGACGATGTCGGTGGTTCCGGGAACGATATTATCATCCAAACAGGAAGCTGCTGGTAAATAATTCCAGACAATTGCCGTAGGCCATTTTTTATTTTTTTGCGAGTGCGAGTGCAGCTGGGTGGGACTGGGCTGGGCGGGGAGACCGCCTCCTTGCGGCAAGGACGGCCTCCAGTCGGGAAGGGGAGGGTGATGCCTCCCAGCATCTCTCCAACACCACCAACTAGTCTCGCCATTCACTTGGACATTAGGCAGCAAATTGGCATCGATACTCCGGCACCAGGCACAGGAGTAAGACCAAAAAACAGTCCATGTGTGTGTGTGGAGAGATGAAAGAGACGGCAGCAGGGTGTGCGAGAGAGGCAGAGCGAGCCTGCATCATTTAACTGCTGCCAATTTACTGTTTAAATGCCAAACAAAAAGTGTTAACAAGCGCAAAAATAACAAAAGACAGCAACAACAGGGCTAGAGCGAGAGGGGGCGAGCGAGTGCGAGGATGCGGACGAGGCGGTGTGAAAGAGACGGGCATAGCCACTTCAGTGCGAGTGTGTGTGTGTGTGTGAACCAGTTTAGGGAGGCGTGGCCTGGCCCAAAACAGGGTTGACAGCATCCCATCCATCCATCCATCTTGCCATCTCGCTATCTTTGCGTATCCATCAGATACAAGGCAGCTGTTGAGTTTGCTGTTGGCCATAATCGTGGTGGGTTTGGTGGTTATTTGCTATAAAAAGTTTATGGTAAGTTGGGAAAGGATGTAGGATCTAATCTTCTATGAAATTATAATAATTATAATATTAAGACTGGTGTTTCTATATTTGAAAATATTTTCATAATTTTTCAAAAAATAAAATAAACTCTTAAAAGAAACAATCTTTTTAAAAAATTAAAAATTTCTAATAGGCTTTATTAGTGAGTGCCTCCCCTTAAGGGTTAAATTAACTCATTAGGGTTGAACAAATATTAAAAAATAAATTCTTTAAGTAGGGCTTAAGGGTTAAATTGCAAAATCAAGGGTTGAAAAACGGGTCTTACCTCCATGAGATGTCATTCGAAATTAAAAAAAATATTCGAAATTCTTTAAAGAAACAATCGCCGCTACAAAGCTGCCAAAGTAACAACAAAGTTGCAATAAAAACAACCGTTAGAGCGGCCATTGTGAATGGCCCAAACCCACCACACCCCCACACACTCACACACACACACACTGAGAGACACACTCAAGTGCCGCTGATTGAAGCCTAATGAATGTCAATTGCTGCCAATTACGACCAATAAATGCGGGCAATAGACACGGGCTTCTTACTCCCGGAGAGCGAGCGGGCGAGCGAGCGAGAGAGCCAGTGTTCGGGCGACAGAGAGCCAAATCCACCACACCACTTGGCCAAAACCGCCAGCCAGAAAGAGACGACGAGACAGGTGTGTGGACAAACGAAAAAGAGACTCAACTGGTTTTTGATGTTTTTTTTTTTTTTTTTTTTTTTTGGTTTTGGCCCTATGTTGGTGGTGTTGTAGCGGCAATTTGTTGCTGGCTGGCTGGGGCAGCGATATTGCTGGCTGGCTGGCTCAGTTTTCAGTTTCGGTCGAAAGCCAAAGGCGAGCGGTTGTTCGAAGCACTGCTCCGCTTTAGTTCTTCATCGGTATTACCAGTTTTTTACGTGAATCACCAAAAAAAAAAAAATAATAATAAAAACCAAAAAACTCTCAATACTCTGTAGTTCTGTGAACTCTTTCCACACCCATACATACATACATAGTTGGCGAATTTTTTTTTGAGTGCATAACGGTAGTGCAGGAACAACACATGACCACAATGCCACCGGAAATGTCCGCAGCAACGGCCAATCCCGTTGGCGGTACCGCCAGTGCGCCGACGAGCGGTACAGGCCATCCCGCTGCCGTCGGCGGCGGCGCCAGGCCACGCGATTCTCCGCCCGGCGGTGCTTTGCCGGCGGCCATGCCAGCCGGAGCGGTGGCAGCCACCACCACCACAACCACCACACAGGCCACCCGATCCCGGTTCATGATCACGGATATCCTGGCGGGAGCAGCGGCTGCTTCGGCGGCGGCGGCAGCAGCAGCGGCGGCTCTGGCGGCGGCCGGGCGTGGCAGTCCCCCAGATCCGCAGGACAGGGACCCGGTCCTGCACCACCAACACCAACACCACCATCAACAGCAGCAGCAACAGCACCACCAGCAGCATCAGCAACAGCAGGCTGCACTGCAGCAGTATATCGTGCAACAGCAGCAACTGCTGCGCTTCGAGAGGGAGCGGGAAAGGGAGAGGGAGCGTGAACGGGAACGCGAGTCCCGGGAGTCCCACCATCCGCACCATCCTTACCACCCAATGCTGCACCACTTTCCGCCCGCCCACTACGGCCTGCAGCATTCGCTGAGCCACCATCCGCACCACCTGCAACAAATGGAGAGGGATCGCCTGGAGGCGCTGCACCGCCACGGCCTGCCCCTGGAGCCCCAGTCGCACCACCACCAGCAGCAGCAGCAGCAACAACAACAACAACAGCAGCTGCAGCAGCAACACCATATTAACCACCAGCAGCATCCCAGCCACCACGACGAGCGGTCAAGATCGCCTCTCATGTTGCAGCAACTGGGTGGTTCCAACGGCAGCAACAACAACAATAACAACAATAATGGCAGCAGTGGCAACAACAACAATGTCTCAAGTGGCAACAATAACAACAACAATGGCAGCATACTGCTGGGAGGGGCAGGAAGCAGCATCAGTGGCGATCAGGCCAGTACCATCGATGACAGCGATAGCGACGATTGCGGTGAGTTTTGGATTTGGGTTTTTTGGGAATTAATTAATCGAATTAATCGAAAATTGAGTTAAAATTAAGAGTGATTTGGGGGCTTAGGACAAATAGCTATAGAGCCTCCTATTCTCCGATGAGCTATCACTCGACATTAATATTTCCAAAGGCCATAAATCAAGTCACAAATTTCATATAATTTGTGATTTGTGGAGTGAAAGTTTTCCAAGCTAACGATTATAGGGTTTGTGACGAAACAAACTGAATTAATTAGATGTTTAGTATTTAGTTTCTTAAGGCTTTATAAACTAGGACTAAACTTTAAGGAAAGCAAACTAAAAATCCTAGACTTCCTTTAAGTTTAATCTCCTTACTTATAAAGTAAAGTATTTTGAAAGCCAATGGTTAAGATTTGTGACGAAAGCAACTGAATAAATTAGATTTTTAATATTTAATATCTAAATTCTTAAGGTTTTCTAAACTAGGTCTAAACTTTGAGGAAAGCAAGCTACAGAAGTTGACCTCCTTGACCTCCTAGAAGTTTAATCTTCTTACTTTTAAAGTAAAGTTATCTTATGGTTAAGATTTGTGACGAAAGCAACTGAATAAATTGGGAGTTTTAGATCCCAGCTCTGAGGGACTAAGGGACTTAACTTCAAGGAAAGTGAGCCTTAGATAAAGAGCCTTACATTCCTTTTTGTGACATCACATAATTATTTTGTTAAAAGTTAGTTTAAAACTAATGACTTAGTTTGGTGACGAAAGCAACTGATTATTACACAAGTAAAGATACGAATTTGTTTAAAAACCTTAACATCTGGAACTAGAAAACAAGGCAATGCAACCTCCAGACAATCTTCGAAGCCAATCCCTGACCCTTGACTTCCTACTCTCTTAGCCGTATGTGGAGTGCATTATCGAGCCGAGGTGTTGGCCGTGTTGTTGTTTCTGTTGCCGTGGCTGTTAGCTAATAGATAACGAGAGCAACAACAACAACAACCACATGAATGCCAACCGCAACAACAACCACCATAAATTGTGAGGCTCGAACTGAGGGAAAATGTTGGCTCGGTAGGTCGAAGAATGCTGGCGAGGCAGACAGAGGGGTGTCGGCACAGGTGAGTTTGAGAGGCAGGTGTCTTGGTATCTCTCCCCCTCCACCGTCTCACCCGGTGGATTAGCTTATTTCCCCGTTCAGAACTGTCACTGGACTGTGCCCCAGCACCTCCCTCCTCAGCCCTCGGCACTCAGACTAGCATGCAACAATTTAATTGATTTTTGTTTTTAGTATTTTTGCTTTTAAACTCGCAAAGTGCTTTTAAACGTTATGCAAATTATGACAAATTACTATTAAATAGTAATTGCAATCGTTTGGAAACGATTCTGGTCTACAAGTACGATTCAGAGGTGGGTCTTGGCCATCTGATCTCCTGGCCCAACTTTCGTGGCAATCATGTTTCCCAATTTTATGGGCAATTTTCACATTTTTGACTTGTGCCAGAATCAATTAACAAATTAAACTATAACCCAAACGGAGAACGGAGATTAAATCAAAGGAGTCCGTCCAGCCAGGGCAGACCCCCCGTCTGCTATGACGTCCCGCTGTCAATTCGAAATCGCTTTGATTTGAGACACAAGCCAAACAAAGGCCAGTCAGTCAGCCAGCCACACACACACACACTTTCTTGACTGTTAAAATAAAAATAAAAACTAAAGAAATCAAAATTAAATTTAATCTGCTGGCTGGACAGCTACACAGTGCCGCACAGAAACCCACACGCAGTCACAAATATTATATATACCCATTGACATTTTGGGTTTTTGGAGTTGCTTTGTCTCTGTCGCTGGCTTTCTCTGTCCCACGCCGAGAGTTGTGATCTCAAGACGATGACTACGAAGCTTCTGATACCCTTTGCCTTCAAATTAGTAACGAAAGCTGTAGAAACCGCAAGCTAAAGCCCACCCAGGCTTAGCCGAATCCTTAAAAAACGGGGGGTGGCGGGGATAGGGATGCATAGAAAGAGAGGTCCATACTGTCGAAGAAAGAGACGGGGCAGAGGCACTCGAACGCGTTCAACACTCGCGTGTCACTTGAGACGCGTGCGAGCGACAGTTGTTGTTCTTCTTCTCTCCAGTCTTCCAGTCTTCTCCAGTCTTGGCCCTGTTCTTTACGCTGGAGAGTCAAAAAAAAGGATTGATCGCTGAGGCACCGCGTTTGAAATTGACCCACAAGCTTGCCCACTGAACTGTACACTGATCGAAACGGGGGGGTAGCTTGATCGAATCAAGCCCGAACCAGATCGAGGGAGTTGCCGCTCCAATGCCTCCATCCAAGTGCCAAGGATCAGCAGCTCGATCAAAAAAGGGAAAGAGAACAGAAAAATGATTTCAAATTGAAATTGATATTTTGGGGCATCATCTTTCGGGGCCGATTTTTTGGCATTTCAGGAATTTCAAGACTCTTGCTTTGGCTTCCAGACCCGAAGAGCGGGCCAAGCTCATCCACTTAATCCGCACACTCCGGTTTAATGGATGAACCCACCACCAGATATCCCCAGATCCCCATATATATCCATGAAAAATCACGTGCGCCAGGCCAAGTTCGTTGCTTAAGTCTTTTGTTTCTCTTCGTTTTATTTCTTTGGTTTTTCGCTTTGATTTTTAAATTCTAAAATAAAGGTTAATTGGTGGCACTTTTTTGGCGAAAATGCCAAAAATTATAAATTAATTATGAATATTTTTTTGCGAGTTCTCCCATTTCGACGATTCTATTATTCAATTTCATGGATAATTTTCGTTTATAAGCACACGGTGTTTGCGATTTAAAAGTTATGTCATTAAAATGTTAACTTTTTTTTAACACTTTATTGAATATTATTTTTAGCTTTTATTTTTTTTTTAACTTTGAGTTTGTTTCTGTTCCTGATATTATTCACCGCCCATTTTCCGTGAAGGAAATGCTAAAAAAAAAAAATAATTACAATTTATAGTTTAGGCGGCACGAAAACCCAACAACCGTTATGCAAGCTCACATTGTTGTTGTTGTTGTAGTCTCCAGACTGTGCACTAAACGCCAACATTATCAAAATGTTGATAAACGTTTAACTGAAAAGTCAGGGAAGAGGCAAACAAAGCAATGTCTGGAAATAAGTGCAGGGAAATAGGGAAATGGGGGAGGGAGGGAGGGGGGAGGAGAAGAAGGTTCTTCTAATTAAAATGCAAAAAGGCCAATTGCAAGTGCGGCTGCCTCTTTTTCTTCTTCTTCCCATAGTTGTTGCACAATTAAAATGAAAAGTAAAAAAAAACCAGCAACTTGCAAGTTGGCAGGCCGGTCGGCCTAAGGAAGTCGGCGGTGCACACTTAAGCATGTTTAATACAGTTTAGCCACAAGCACTTAATTACAAATGCGAATGCGAAACAAACACAAGAAGGGAGGGGGAGGGGGGCTGTTGCAAGTTGCAGCGGCAGGTACATGGGCACTGCCAAGTGTGGAACAGAAATTGCGGAAATACTTCGAAAGTCAAACTACTTCTTCGGTGGGGAACCGCTATTAATGCATTTAAAAAAACGAAACGAACTAAAAAATGTATGCTAGTGGGTGTTGCCACCGGAGGGGGGAAGAGAAGAGGAAGAGAAAAGGCGGAAGAAGGGGGGCGTGACTCAGTTATTAGAGAAGCAGCCGATCAACAAAGTAAAACAGATTTTTCAAGCTCACCACTGAGAGAAGAGAGCTTGCCTCTTTCTTTAGGAATTATTTTTTAATTTTTTTAATTCGAATCTTTTAAACTAGCCACAAGTATAAGATAGCCTTTCTTAATTAGTCGCTTCTAAACCAAATATATAATACACACATAATAAAAAGTTCAGTTCACTTTGCTGGCCGCCGAGGCTTCTGCTGCTGCACCAGCCATGCAGCATACATATATGTATATATCCATTAAGGTAATGCTGATAATTGTTTGTTGTTGCTTTCTTGTTGTAATTTGTGCTCATAAACTGTTTAATTGCAAATTAGCAAAAGACTAAAACAACAAAAATAACAATGTTGCCACATGCATGGTGTATGGTATATCTTGGCGGTTGCAGCGAGCAGCTCTTGCCTCTGCAAGTTGCAAGTGGCTATCTTGCGCGTTGCAAGTCGCCAGTTAGCCAGTTGATCTTGTTGCATGTTGGCCGGTCATAAAAGAACAAAAAAAAAAAGCGCGTAAATGTTGCAGAAAATTGCAAATATGAGATATGTCCGTCGGTGGTGGGGGAGGGGAGAACCATCTAGCCTAGAAGTCGAACTTACTTTTAATTCTTCAAATAATAAAAAAAAATATCATATTTTTTTTTTAGGCGGCAAGGACGACGACGGCGAGGATAGCCTGAAGAACGGCAGCTCCGCCAACGGAGACTCCTCCTCCCACTTGAGCCTCAGCCTGAGCAAGAAGCAGCGCAAGGCCAGGACCGCCTTCACGGACCATCAGCTGCAGACCCTGGAGAAGTCCTTCGAGCGGCAGAAGTACCTCAGTGTCCAGGACCGCATGGAGTTGGCCAATAAGCTGGAGCTGAGCGATTGCCAGGTGAAGACCTGGTACCAGAATCGAAGGTGAGTGTGCACCATAGTGTCTTTTAGGCGGCTCCTTTCAAGCCTGATTAATGGGTTAAGAGCCGGGCCCGGCGTTGTGGGGTTAAGGCCCGCTAATCAGCACCTTTAATGGGTTGCGCCCATTTCTTCGCGCACTTTTCCAATAAAAATCATTTTAATGCCTCTCCCTTATCTCTCGGTGTGTTTGTGTTTTTATGCTGATTACTTAATTTGCTGCATTTTGCGCTCCGTGTCGTAAAATCTTCCCTCCTACCATTCTGGTGCTCTTTAATAAATGAGAATCGCTGTTTTTTTTTTTCTCAGTGCAAGTTTGTTGCCTAAGTCTTTCGTTACATTGCTGTTGCGTTTTTTGCTTTTTTTCTGCTGCTGCTGCTGCTGTTGCTACTGCGGCTGCCTTATTACGTTCGATCGCGTTTTATTTTCGTTTTTAATTATTGCCCAATGACTTGTCACTATTTTTTTTTTATCCATCGATGGGCCAGCAGAATGGTACGAAGAAGAAGAAGCAGAGCAGACTGTCTGGGACTGCTGACGGCGCAAAAAAACGCAACCGGATGTGAATTTCGCTGCTGTGGAGTACCCTCTTTTAATGAATTTTTTTATTAAAAAATTTAATTCTTTTCGCCAAATTCGCTCAAGTCTTAAAACCTTAATATCTTCAAACATAGAAACTGTAAGAATTGTAACTGATCCTTGATCCTTGTCGGAAAAGTCATTTTCGAGAATGGAAACAATTTTCACAGCTGCTCTCGCCTCTCGGAGCATGAATGGGCATAAAAAAAACCGATGAAAATATACCCAAATTCGACCTGGTTCTAGTTCTAGTTTCCGTCTCGGTCCTGGCGCCACAAACAATTAAAGGATTTCGTTGCCAAAAAAATAAAGGAAGAGAGAGCAGGCAGCGGGAGAGGCGTTTCCCTGCCAATTAGGCCTCAGTTTTCAGTTTACGGCTTAAAGTATTTTTATTTATTTTCGGTTTGTGTTTTTTTTTCGGTGGGCAGGCCCAAGATTAATGACAAAACAATTAAGTGCGAAATATAAACAGTCGGGCGGGAATCCTTAAAGCCGCTCAACGGGACATGAGACGAGCCAGAGTGACTCGGCAGTACTTGTGATTAATTGAAGGACTTGGCAGGATCGGCAGGGACCTAGGAAGGGCTCTAAAATTTCAAAGATAAAGTCTTTCAATTTCAATTTTTAATATTTTTTTGTATTTTATTTCCTTTTCAGGACCAAGTGGAAGCGTCAAACGGCAGTGGGCCTGGAGCTCCTGGCCGAGGCCGGGAACTATGCCGCCTTCCAGCGCCTCTACGGCGGTGCCACGCCCTACTTGAGCGCCTGGCCGTACGCGGCCGCTGCCGCCGCCCAGTCGCCACACGGCGCCCCGCCCTCCGCCATCGATATCTACTACCGCCAGGCGGCCGCCGCTGCCGCCCTACAGAAGCCCGCCCTGCCCGCCTCCTACCGCATTCCGTATCCGTCGAGCATGCCGCCCGGCATGGCGCTACCCGGCATGCCAGCCCCGCCGCCCCCCGGCGCCGCACCCATGCTGAGCGGGTATTATGCCGCCGCCGCTGCTGCGGCCGCCTCTGCCTCGGCCTCTGCCTCCGCCGCTCAGCCGCTGAGCCGCTCGCCGGCGACGTCGCAGAGCGCCAACAGCGAAGCTGACTGCGAACGGGCGCCCCCCAGTCCGCCCCTCAACCCGGGCAGTCCGCCGCGCCGGAACCTGGTCGAGGAGGAGGACCAGGAGCGAGAGGAGGAGCGCGAGAGGGAGCGAGAACGGGAGCGCGAGGAGGAGGACGACGAGGAACTGGCCCTGGAGGTCTAAGTACAGTCGCCTCTCCCTAAGCTGGATCTCACAAACAAAACAGCAGGGGCTCTATTCAAGACCTTTGGAATGGGGCAGTTTTTCAAATAAATTTTAAAATTCTTAATTTTTAAAGAAATATTTAATGAAAAAATTCCTTAAGATATTATTTAAAAAAAAAAAGGTTTAACCTTCACTCTCTGAGTTCTAAAAAGTAACAAATATTTTAAGTTAAATCCACAATTCAGGTAGAAGAAAGCTTCAAAAAAAAATCAATTTCGAAAATGGCTTAAATATTTTTTGAAACTTGATATCTATATTTCCAGTATTAGCCTTTCCCCATTCTCAGCTGTCGCTACGAATAGCCCCCCCATAGATATTGTGTATAAACCAAGAACGTAAAAAATAATCTTAAAATTAAAAAACATTTTTTTTTTCTACATTTAAATCTTAGCTTAGTGAAAATTTTGTAAATTTTTGTAAATGATTTTTGTACATACGCAGCAGACCAACAAAAAAAAAACAAAAACCATTTTTTTTTCCAAAACAATAATTTTTTTTTTTTCTAACTTTTTGTGCCTAGTCTTAAGGCGTCTATTGTGTGTAGTGTAATAATAAAATAAAAAAAAATTGAAGAAAAAAAAGAGCAATTCATACAAAAAAAAAAAAAAATAAGAGATGGAGCGAACTGGGTATTGTGTTTGGGAACTTAAGGACTCGATCCTGATTTTAATGCGAGCTGACACACGAGCCGAAAAGTCGAAACGCCGGGATCTCAAGGGCGATATGCTCGTGATATGCGATACTCGATACTCGAGGGGTCCTCGAAAAACTGTTGCATTTTGCGGATTTTGGGCAAGGAGTGCCTGGTTGCCTGGCTGCCTGGGAAGAGTGAGCTGGTTGCCGACCACTAAACTGCTCACTTAGAAATTGTTAACATTTGCCAAGGGTCCTGCCGGTCCTGAGTCCAAGGGTCTGGCAAGGAGCGAGTCCTGCGAGAAAGACGCCGCTCGCCACTCGAGTGCTGAAACGTTTCTAATTGACTTGCCGGAACGGGCCGGGGAGGGAGATGGGGGGGAGCTGGGAGCGCAGTAAGGATCAACCACCAAGCTAACCAAAGGATATCAACTGTTAGAGATGGTAGCGTGAGTTGGAACACAAACCTAGCCTTGAAGTAAGCTTTGGAAGTCTATAAAGTCTATAGGGTTTGCTATCATAATTAACCTTTATACTAAGGCATGGTCTTGTGGTTTAATATGATCTATCTATTAAAAGCTGTGGAAGACTATATAGTCTATAAGGTTTGCTATCATAGATCTTTCTATAAACTTGCTTTTTTTAATAGTTAACTCTTGTACTATATCTTTTATTTAATATATATCTACCATATTATATTCATAATAATATATGTATATTTATTTTATTTCCTTCATATATCCCTGCCCCGGACCGAAGCCCATCTCTAGCTGGTGGCAGGACCTACCCCGTTGCTGTTTGTTTTGCCTGTTTACATGCCGCTTGCCATTTTCGCTACTTTTATGACAATTTCAATTTCTGCCCGCCGCTCCTCGCCCGACGTTCGATGTCTTGGTTAATGTTTTAATTTATGGGGTTGCGGCTAAGCGAATTCAATTTGCGTTGCCTTCGAGTGGCGCACACACACACACACACACACAACCCCTTTAGGATTTGATTCCTCAGCTCCGGCCTCATCCTCATCCTCTTCCTTGAAGCCTGATTGTGATCCGGATTCTCAGACTCTGCGTGAAGTGGCTGCGTCGTCATCCAAGTCAAGTGTCGATGGCTACGGATTATACTGTATATATAGCTCAGTAATTGTGCGTAGGGTTCCTGTTCCCTTCTTCCTCTTTCGATTCGATTCGATTTTGGAACGTTTGCCAAACGCCTCTGTAACAAATTGATTATTCGATGCGGTTTTCTCCGCCGCTCTCACCATTTTTTTCGCATCGATTTCGATTTGAAATTTTTATGAGTGCTGCTCGTAGTCGCTACGAGTGCGAGTACTTATAAATTTATGAGTGGCCCGTCAAACCGCCAGACCGTGCGAAACTTTTCACTGAGAACGCGTCCCAAACTTTGGGGTTCCGAAATAATAAATACACAAATAACAAACACCGAGTAGCCGGTGGGTGGTGGTTTGTCGGCTATTTGCATATTTTTGTTGTCATCTCACAGTTGATTGGGCAAACAAAGCGGCCAAACCAGGGACTCCCCCAGGAGCTCCCCCAAACCTTCGCATTAGAAATATTTTGAAAAAATTAACCCAAGATTTTGATGCATAATCCAAAAGAATCGAAAGGAAGCCCCTAGAAAATTTGAAAAAAACCTAAAAAATATTTTACTTCCCGGTTTTGATGCAGAATGATAGTAAATTGATATAGAAATCGTTTAAGATATTCCTCTTAAGAATCGGATAGGAATTGGAAAAGATATAGCCATCGCAAGGGGCCATATAGCCACTTTTGGGGTTTTCGAAGGGAAGCTATAAGGGAAAGGAATCTAGTTATAGCTATCGAAGACTATAACTCTGCCAATATACATTCGATTCTCAAGCGGGTTACTTTGAACGCCATAATAACGTATTTAATTCTGCATCAAGATCCGTAAGCAAAATATTTTATCATTTTTTTCGAATAACACATTTTTCACATTTTAAGAGACACATTCCAGGGCTACCTTTCATGACAGTCTTTCATGTTGCAACCCTAAGATAATCGATGGCTGTTACTTGCCTATGGATGCCTATCGAGACTAGTAGGCTCTGATTCAGGCCCCAAAAAGAGTATAAAAGGCGGCGTTCCTTCATTCCAAATCAGTAGTCAACGTACCTCCATCCCGTTGACTTCTCGCTTTTTATTTTATTTTTTGTTTCTGATTTATTTTATTTTTTAATGAACAAAAATCAATGGAGTCTTGAAAACTTCCAATTCTGAGTTCAAGCCTATGGGGTTTTCTACAGCTCTTATTTTTTAATTTTATTTATTTTTATTTTTTTATTTTTCAATACTTTAAATTCGTTCTGACTGGTCGGTCTCTGATATTTTTTATAATTTTTCTTTTTCTTTTAATACGTGCAATGGAATTTTGTATGGAGGAAAGGCCTCAACGGTTGTCAAATCTATAACAAAAGCTTCGCCTAATTTATTTATTTTTATTATTTATTTTAATTTATCGGTCTCTGATATTTTTTATAATTTGTCTTTTTCTTTTAATACGTGCATTGGAATTTTGATTGAACTTTCTTTGCGGAAAATCTTTTCGGTTGTCAAATCTATAATAGAAGCTTCGCCTAATTTATTTATTTTTATTATTTATTTTATTTTAATTTTGCTGCCATCCATTGATTCATTTAAGTTCTTGAATTTTTTTTCACCTTTAGGGAAATCCTTTTCTTTTGTCAAATCTATAACAGAAGTTTTGCCTAATTTATTTATTTAAATTATTTATTTTAATTTATCGGTCTCTGATATTTTTTATAATTTTTCTTTTAATACGTGCAATGGAATTTGGATGTTACCTTTTTTTCGAAAAACCTTTTCGGTTGTCAAATCTATAACAGAAGCTTCGCCTAATTTAATCCATATAGCCATAGGGCCATATAACCACTTGCGGGGTTTTCGGGATTTTAGTAGGGAAGCCCCTAGAAAATTTGATAAAAAATCTAAAAAATATTTTGTTCCATGATTTTGATGCAGAATGGTATTCAATTAATATAGAAATCGTTAGAGGTATTCCTCGTAGAAATCGGATGGGAATTGGAAAAGATATAGCCATCGCAAGGGGCCATATAGGCACTTTCGGGGTTTTCGGGATTTTCGTAGGGAAGTCCCTAGAAAATTTGACAAAAAATCTAAAAAATATTTTGCTCCCGGTTTTTGATGCAGAATGATAGTTAATTGATATAGAAATCGTTGAAGGTATTCCGCTTTAGAATCGGATGAGAAGAGGCAGAGATATAGCCATCAGAGTGGGCCACAGGGGCATTTCAAGGCTCTTTGGAAAGCAACTCTCCGGCATCCATTTCTGCAGGGTTACCCCTTCAGGCAAGAATATATTATTTTTTATGGACTTTCTGTTACACTTAATTTATCAATCACAATATCATGCACAAACACAAACAGTTACGGACTTGGGTAGCTATAGGGTTAGGTCTTTTAAATGCAGAATGGACATGTAAATAGCTCGAATTCCTGGCCCAGTACTGTCGTTCGATTTTATCACCCGCTTCCAGGACTGCCTCCTGCGTCCATTGTCGCTTCTTGCCTGCCATAGGAAAGTTTTCCGCTGGATTGGTGTCTTTTGTGCATCCGAGCTGACAAAGTGCTTTCACACCGGAAGCAATTGCAATGCGTTTGCCGTCGCACCACCCATCTAGCCACCCAACACCCACCATCCACCACCCACCACCCACTACTTTCCCCTTTCTTCCATCTTTTAAAAGCTAATTGACAAGTTTCTGGCAAGGGTCGTGCGTTTCTTTCACATCGTTTTTTATGCATTTCCCGACGACTTCTTTGTGAGGCTAATTTGTCACAGGATGCCGACGCACTGCCAGGATGGAGCGGGCCAGGATGGAGAATGGAGATGCTGCTTCATTACACAGGCAATTTGTTCCACACAAAGACGAGGTGGCTCTGAATGGGAGCACTGGAAAAAGTCGGCTATATGATAAGCTTCCCGGGCCGAAGGACATTCAGAACTCTTCTCTCAGTGTAGATAGACAGGACACTAAGGGGGTGGCCAGAATCCAGGAGCAGGGGGATGCTTCCGTTATCAATAAATTTGTGTCCTTAAATGCGTGTATTTATCGAATTAGATGCCGGAATTGGAATCTGAATCGGAATTGATATTGGAATGGTGGGCTGGCTGGCTGTGACCTCGTCAGGAAATCGCTAAAGATTTATGGTGCACTGGTGGACTGTGGTGGCAGCGGCAAGGTTATATCAATAGCCGGGCCAGAGATGCCTGTTTTCTTGGTCGGTGGCTTTAAATTACCGTAAATGGGCTTTGTGGCGCCAGGGATCAGAAAAATCGATTTGTCGGTCGTCGCCGCCAGTTAAACGCTGCCAATTTGATCCACCGCTGGATTTGGACTTGGACTTGGCTTTGGGTCTTGGCGGCTACTGGTTTTGAACCTGCCACCAAACCGCTGAGCCACTGAGCCACTGAGCCACCGAGCCACCGCACCGGCCCAATTTGCATGCGTTCGATTTGCAATTCGGTCTGCAATTGCATTTGCGGTTTTCAGATTTTGGTTTTTCAATCAATTCTAACTGTGCACACTGCACTGCAAAAGGCAATCAGACGTCGTCCATGGGTCATGGTAGTTGGTGGGGGATACTACTAGGTGATGATATCCTGGATAAAAAATAATACTACACTACAGACTACAGATTGCAAGTCATAATGACACACAAACGAAGCTTAAGAGCTACTCCCCTTTAATAAGTATTAGTCCTTTTTACCCTCTGAGAGGTATACCCCACTATAGGGTATCAAAATCTTATTCGG